TATTGTAAATAACTGTATGCATTTATACAGTAATACATGCGATATGGTTTAGGTAAAAAAGAGTAGGAACCATCCATTACATATGTTGTTGCATAAATGGCATTTCTAACCTTTAGGCAGAATCATATTCACAAAATGCTCAAAGAGATCGGAGAAAAACTGCCAGAAAATTTCTAATTGGATAGTTTTCTTCTGCAAATGAACATTTCCATAGAAGATAGTATATTCACCTTTATAAGGAACAGGACACAAGACTTGAAATGTAAAAGAGTACACAGAAATTTAGGGACATGAAAAAAAACAACACGATAGCAATGACAGTAAACTATGTATTCTTTAAAATGTATTCTTTAGGTGGATCAAATAATCTTATTTGCAAAACTGTCCCAAAAAAACAGGTTAGGATAAATTATTTTACTGACTTGGATTTTTATTGAATCCTCTTTGGAAACTACACAATCAGTTGCCAAAATTAGCTCAGAAAACCAACAGCCTTTTATGTGAAGAGTTTCAGTTTAAGCTCCAAAATCACTATCCAATACTTTAATTTGCTAGTATGGAGAAATGCCTCACAGAAATGAGATCAATTATTAAATACTGACAGCCAAAAAGCATAAAATAGACGTGGTGAACAAAATTTTTTTACAAGCTACAGGTAGACTGACTTATCTGTAAGCCCATGTAAGGCAAACAGAATATCAACGACTACTTGAGAGGATACTAACATGAAGTGAAAGCTCAAAATGAAGAAAACTGCATTAATTAGAAATCACTTTGTTATGCATTACTGTTATTTATCTCTCTAGCTCTATTTTCTGACACTTCACACACAAGAGATAAGCATTTGCTATTTCTAATATAATGTAACTATTTCCATTATTTTCTTTCTGCTCTATTAAAGGATGCTTTGGTGGGGGAAAGAAAGTGTAAAAATCAGACTGTTGTAGGTCTGTTAAACAGCGCACCCTTGTGGCTTATTCTGACTCCTGAACAATAAAAATCTCTAGGATAAGAATATATCCAAAATTCTTCAGGGATTTGAAAATAATTTTTTTCCAGATACTTTTTCCCAGTCTACTACTTTCAATCATCAAAAACGTGCCTTTTTAAAGCTTCAAATTCAAAACTAAGTTGTTTAATATAAAATGTCTATAGTAATAATGACTATTTTTTTATCTTAAACATAAAACAAACAGTAGAGGGGCACCTGGGTGGCTCAGTCAGTTAAGCGACTGACACTTGACTTCGGCTTAGATCGTGATCTCCAGATCGTGAGATCCAGCCCCACATCAGGCTCCAAGCTGGGCGTGGAGCCTGCTTAAAATCTCTCTCTCCTGCTCCCTCTGTTCCCCCACTCCCCCCAGGCTTGTGTGCACATTCACTCTCTCTCTCTCTCTCTCTCGAAAAAAAAAAAAAAAAGATAAATATGTGAGGTGATGGATGTATTAACCAGACAGCAGGAATTCTTTCACAATGTATATGTATTTCAAATCACCACAATGTACACTTTAAATATCTTATAGTTTTCTCTGCCAATTATACCTCAACAAAGCTGAAAAGAAAGAAACAAAAGTAGAACTGCCCCCCCCCATTTTGATCAGTTTGTAGAGGGCTTTGAATGCCTCAAAAATACCTGCCAGTTATCAAAGTTCCTGAACTGGGAAGACAAGTTAAGTACTGGTCTTCTCCTTACTCCGCACCCTGGATTTCCCTAAGGCATGACTACAGAAGAAGGAAAGAAGGGGACAAGGAAAGACAAGGAAGGGAAACTGAATGAAGGACTCACTAATTGGACGCAAAAATAAAAAGAAAACACACTGAAAATTATCCTGAGCTTTTAAATCTGGGAGAACAAAAATAAGCTTGATTTTCAATCATCATGACTGAAATCATGATGATTGAAATCATCAATCAAATGCTGATTTCCAGGTAGTGATGAGTAAATAAGTAACCATGACTTCAGTCTGCAACTGGAATAAAATATTGGGATTGGAATTACAAAGTTGATATACTAGTTTCCCAGGGCTGCTGTAACAACTTACCAGGACCGAGTGGCTTAAAACAACAGAAGTTTATTCTCTCACAGTTCTGGAAGCCAGAAGTCTGAAATCGAGCTGTTGGCAGGGCCATAGCTCTCTGAAAGTACGATGGGAAAATCCTTCCTTGCCTCTTCCAGCTTCTGGTGGCTTCTAGAATTCCCTGGCTTATGGCAGCATAACTGCAATCTCTGCCTGCGTTAGCACATGACCTCCTCCTTCCTATCTCAAGAACAGCAGTCTTTGGATCTGGGCCCAGCCTAAAGTCCACAATGATCTTATCTCTAGATCCTTGACTTGAACATATCTTTTGGGGGGACACTATTCAAACCACTACAGTTGAGAACTCAACAAAGAACCCATCTTCTCTGAAAGAGTACAGTAAATATAGGCTAAGACCATGGATTCAGGTACCTCCAAATTTAGAAAACAGGTAAAGGAAGTGGGGGCAAGAAAAAAGAGAGCTGAAATATAAAAAGAGAATCAGGACCAAGGAAGAGAGAAAAATCAAGACCAAAGGGGTGATTTAGCACATCAAATATGGTGAAGAAGTTAAGGAAATGAGTGCAGAGATGCCTAGGAAAGCATGAGTTCACATGCACACAAGCACACACGCACACACACACACACACACACCCCGAACCATGGCTTAATTGTTAAGGATTTTTATAATGAAGAAATAAAAAATGGTTCTTCAGCTTCTCTAGGGAGGAACAAATAATTCTGGGTCCTACTTAACAATACATCAAAGAACTACCCAGATGTCCAGATCAAAAGAAAAAAATAATTGGAAAATTATATAAAGATGTCCAGTTTGCCAAAGGCAACATACAAAAAAAAAAAAAAGATTACTTAACATGGGAGCATCAACTGGTCATAGAGCAGAGGGTGAGAATCAAAAGAAATGGCTTTTGGTGAGGCCACTGGAAACACAGTCTAGAATTTTAAGAAGCAGACTATTTATTGGACAATGTAGACCTCTTCAGGTCCAAGCACAGAGGAAGTTTACTAGAATGCATGAGGTCACCGGGAATAAAAATTTGTGACCAGGAGCTAAGATTTATTTCTACATAAAGACAGACTTTGGTAATTAAAAATTTAAAACAATCCTGAAAGTGCTACCTTTTAAATGACTTACTATGAAGAAATGCAAAGGAGTTAAACCCACAAAATGAAGTCTTTGGAGACCCTGACTTGGCCTCTGCTTATCTCATTCAATTTCAGTCTCTGATTCTTGTTCATGCCCAGGCATGCCATAGTCTTCACATTCCCGTGTCTTTGAACATGGTTCCTGTTGCCTAAGGTACTCCCACACAGATGTTAATACTAAATCCAAGAATCGCCTCTTTTGTAACACTTCACCCAACTACCAAGTAGTTACTTTGGAAAACTTTGTAGCAAATGATTCTATCATTTGAAAATATAACTATCCTCCTGATTTTTAAGGTGAGACTTTATACCAGGGACATTAGACAAGAAAATTTTATTTCTATAAGAAGACAGCTTAATAGATGATTTTTCAAATAACTACTGAGTTTAAGCATTTTTTTGTTCATTTCTACCCTGGTTGCTATTTTCTTTTTTTAAGATTTTATTTGAGACTGAGAGTGTGCAAGAGTGAGCAAACGAGAGAGAGAGACAGCATGAGCATGGGGGGGCACGGGGGGCAAGCAGAGGAAGAAGCAGACTCTCTGCTGAGCCGGGAGCCTGAGAAGGCAGACGCTTAACTTACTGAGCCACCCAGACACCTTGCTATTTACTTTCTAAAGGCATATATGATAGTTTATAAATTACAATTAAAAACTATAGTTAAGGGGTGCCTGGGTGGCTCAGTCGTTAAGCGTCTGCCTTCAGCTCAGGTCATGATCCCAGGGTCCTAGGATCAGGCCCTGCATTGGGCTCTCTGCTCGGCGGGGAGCCTGCTTCTCCCTCTCCCACTCCCCCTGCTTGTGTTCCCTCTCTAGCTGTCTGTCAAATAAATACATAAAATCTTAAAAAAAAAAAAAAACCCAACTATAGTTAAAAATATTTAAAGTTAAGAAAACAAAGAAATGTTTATTAGTTGGTTGGGAGGCACTAGTTTACTTAAGCATTTAGTTTACTGAACTTCCAAGGGGAAATAAAAACCCTTCAAGTAGATACAAGAAAACTTCTCAGTGTCTCAAATATCTCAAAGTAAAATTTGCTCTCAAAGTTACTTGAATAATTTGTCTGATTACAAGCAACAAAATATATAGTCTCATGTTTAATCACATTTACTTAAAACTTCATTTATCGTCCACATGAAAAAAGCAAAGAATGTACACATTTTATAGGCATGAAAAGTAGTTTGCAAATGGATTTCCACAAAACAACATACTCCAGGGAAATGTGGTAGTACACAGAAGCAATAGTAAGTCAGTATGGGGAAAAGACATACCCAGAACCCTGCTTTGAACATAAGAGTATATAAAAGTAACTGCAATATATTCTATATAAACACTTTTTTTTTTTTTTTAAACTATAGAGTGTCTATGTATCAACAAGACACCCGGATTTCCCTGTGAGAATCCCAGAGTCAGGTCAAGAAGATACATCTAGTTAAAAACCCATGAATGCAACATAAAGACTTTGGTGCCATGAAAAAAAAAGTTCAAAATTGAGTATTTGCATTCCCAATACATGCATCAAGCAAGCACCTCTGGTTGGGCCTTAGTAAGCCAGGACTTTAAGGTTTATGGGTGATTTATTTGCTTGAAGATAAAAGTTACTTAAAATTGACACATTTATTCTTTACTGCATCACAGAACCATACATATGTAATCTCTTCCCAGTGCCAATGTTATCAATAACAAGTTATTCATCTTATTACATATTAGTGACTGTTACTAATCTTATTAGCAGTCTATGTGGAAAAGGCCAAGAGGAAAAATAGATGGTCCTCTGCCCCATCCTAAAAACACAAAACGAAACACAATTATGTACCTTCTCTGTTTCGTCCACACTCAAGGATTTCACTACACAAGAAGCTGGCCTCTCCTGGATGTGAGCAAGGTCCCGGGGGGCGCTCTGAGACCCTGGCATTGGAGGCAGCGGGGCCCGCCTCTTCTTGGGTGCATCCGATGGCAGGGTGTTTGAAATATATGGCTTGGAAATGGTATTGGACCTTGTAAAAGTTGGGCGATGCTTATTTACTAGAGGAGTTGCAGGGGCACTTGCAGTCTAATAAAGAATGAAAAGGCAAAACCTAGAGGTCATTTCAAGATAAAAAAGCACATGCAATTAAAAACAGATGAGAAGAATCTTATAAAATATTACATAAAAAAATACTCACCTGTTCCCGCTTTTTCTTACTGCGCTGAAAAAAGCTGAAAAACCCTTTATTTTCCTTCTCCTTCATAATGTCTAGGTTTTGTGATACTTGGCAGGATTCTAAAATAGAAGAAAAGCCTCTTACTTTTGTACATGGAATTGTAGATTTACCTCCAAGTTTTCCCTCAGTTTCTTTCCCTTGAAAAATTTATACAATGATGAAAGCTACTAATTATGGTCTACTATGAACCATGCACTCCGCTAGGCATCTTATATCTTATTTAATTCTCAAAGCAACAAGGAAGTTTAGTATTATTGTTCCTATTTCACAGCAGAGCAATCTGAAGATTAAAGAAACAAATATACATACTTGGGGCCAACAATCAAGCAATGACAGAGATAGGACAGAAACTCAATTCTTTGTGACTCAGGGTCTGTTCTATCCATAATTACCAACATTTCAGAAGTAAAATGGACACTTTGAATTAAATGAGATATGAAGCTATCAACAGTTTGTCCCTTTATTTTGAATTTTTATTTTGTCACAGAGCTAAACAATTATGAAATATTTTATTCTCTAAAGCATGATTCACTATAATTACTTAGTACTTTATTAAGTGTTTCCAAAAGACTATTTCTTCAATACGATGTTTCCCAACTAGGTGGCAATCTTGCCCCACCCCCATTCCGGAGAACACTGGACAATGTCTGGGGACAATTCTGATTGTCACAACTAGGGGTAGGGCAGGAGAATGTGCTACCAGCATCTACTGGGTAGAGGCCGGTGATGATGCTGAACACAATACAATGCACAAGATAGCCCCCCAACAAAAAAGGATCATCCAAGCCCAAATGTCAATAGTGTCAAAGTTAAGAAACCACATTTTAATCAGAATGGCAAATGTCAACCTCATGATTACATATTAACATTCTATTTTCCAAAAAGTATTTCCTAATGTCAACTGAAAAGGCCTACAAACAATGACAAGTCCAGTGGTGCTGAGTAGCCCTGGCCCAGATGGTCTCTAAACACCTTTTCCCACTAAAAAGGGACCACGATTGCATAAGAATGGCTGATTCTTTGTCCACACCAAGGACTGTAAAGATGAGTCTGGAATATCAAATTATAGCAGAGAGAAAGAAATCAGAGTCCACTGGGATCATTTTAAAAGGGCACAGGAATCAATCAGATATGGTTTTTACTGGCCAAGCTCAGGACAGTTTGGGCATCATAGAACTACTTAATAAATGGAAACATTTTGCATATGTTTAATTCCATGACTTGTAGCGATGCTGAAAAAATAACTGACCCTTACTGTTTACCTCTATGTACTGCTAATGAACCAGTCTGTTATTTTAAAAACTGAGGAAGGGGGTCGCCTGGGTGGCTGAATCCGTTAAGCGTCTGACTCTTGGTTTTGGGTCTCAGGGTCCTGAGATCAAGCCCCAAATCGAGCCCACCATTGGGCTCTGCACTCAGCAGGGAGTCTGCTTCAGATGGTCTCCCTCGCCCATCTGCCCCTCCCCCACCCACCCACACTCACTCTCTCTAAAATACATAAATAAATAAAATCTTAAAAAAAATTCTCTATATAAATAAATAAATACTGATGAAGGAAAAGAATCACACTTTTTTCCTGCCTCTTCTGAATGAATTGTACCTAGGTAGACAAGTAGCTGAATGGGGAAATTTGCTGTTTCTGAAATATCTCAATTTATAATTAAAGGCATATTTGCAGATAATGATTATTTTCCAACTCCTAATCAAGATCCAGGCAAATATTATTGATAGCTAACATCAAAAAAGATAACTTGTGGGGTGCATGGCTGGCTCAGTTGGTAGGGCAAGCAACTCTTGATCTTGTGGTCATGAGTTTGAGCCCCACATTGGGTGCAGAGATATGTACATACATACATATATAAATATAACTTGCTATTACATGGCTGCTAATGGAAATATATAATACCACCTATGAAGTATTCTTGCTGAAAATATCTCACCCAAATCTGATCAAGTCTCTAGATTCAACAATCAATTTACAAGAAATAGAGACAATCGAGAAACATATTAAATGGCACCACAGGATGCAATCCACAAAATTCTGAATGTGGGAAATACAGTAAGATAAAAGACCCAGTTTCTTCAACAAATGAAATACAAATTTTAAAAAAAAGAGAGAAACAAGGAGTGGGGAAACAAGGAGAAACAAGGATATATCATTCAATATATCAATTTTGAAAACATTTCTACTAAAGAGCATATATGTGTTTTATATAAATCACAATATAATTTCAGTGATATTGGAAACAAAGTACTGTATACTGAAATTTATGGGATATGTCTAAAGCAGCACTTAGAGGTAAATGTATGGTCTTAAATACATTTAAATCTTAAATATATACCCCTTTTTTAGGACTGCATGTACAGTCTTTTTGTTTAAAAAAATGTTTAAAAATTAAATAAATTATGACAAAATAGGGGCTCCTCCAGGAAAGCAAAGATTGTTAATGCCAGTAAGTATATCAATGCAATATGCCTCAATAACACGATAAAGAAGAATATTTCACAAATTAAAACTTCATAAATCTGATGCTTTAAATTTTATATAAGCAGTATGCATTCTGTACAATGAGTTTACTGACAATACTAACTAATGATGAACATGTGGATAGCACTTTATGGTTACAGATTTTTTCACATGCCTAATTTCTTTCCTAGAACAATCCAAAGAGGATTATCAGAAATTATCACAAGTTATCATTCTGAGTCCTTTTTCTAAGTTAGGGAATGTAAAGAAATGGAAGCAGACAGTATTGTCCCATTATACACCTGAAGCCCTGGTGACCACAGTTTAAATAACTTGCACCAAGACACACAGGCATTAAGTGGTAAAATTCAATATAATATCTACTCATCGATGATATATAATACCTTTGGCTTTTCCTTTTTTTTTTTTAAGAAATGTTATTTCATTTTAAGATGAAGACTAACTGAATGTAGGTATTTCACATGGTAGTACAGTGCAATACATATAAGCAAAGTTATTTTTGGTAAAGCAATTTCCAGGCACCCTGTCATCCTCCATACTAGTTAAGCTAAGTCACTTACAGCTCTATGGCAGAGATCACCAGAAGTCAGAGTTAAACACTAAGAAACACAAGGGCTTGAGCTTACTAGAAAACAACTCAAATTTATAGTTTCCTGTTTCCAGAAGAGAGGCTATAAGTAACTGCATACAAAGTACTAAGACTTCTGATAATATTAGACAAAATAAGGAGGCAGAGGCATTTACAGCATTTGGATTGATCTTGTAGATTTTGACACCGTAAAAGGAGCTTTCTTAATTTTCTTATCCAATCTCGTAAGGTTACATCACAACATTTAGTACTCTAAATAAATACATACTTTCTTGGCTGGAAGGGTTATTACAAACCAATGCATTCAACACCTTCAAAATGAGGCCAATAAGATTATGGAAATTGCTTTGAGTAATGTATATAGAGAATGGCAATGGTAGGAGAAAAGCCAAGTACAAGTGCCAGGATGTTGCTACTGGAAAAAAAGCACAGAGACCACTTTTTCCAATCTGTTATTATAGAAGTGGAAAGTGTGATGCAGACAGATAAAAAGCTATTTGTCCTATCGGCTTGCTAAATGAGTTTGACAGCTAATGCAGTTTCAGAATTAAAACATCTATCTTCTGATTATTAGCCAGTATATGCTTTATGAACATAACAATTTCCAGCTCCTTTGATTAACCTAGTCTTCATGAATCAAGCCACTAATAATAAATAATCACACTATTACTCATATAGACTTATTGTGTTATGGGAAAATTGGCAGTGGTAAAGAAAGAAGATTCCAATAACACATAATGTGTATAGCTTATTGTTTTTTTTTTTTAGTAGAGTGGTAATTATTATAGTAATCAATTATCTGAGCTTATCCTTTTTTAATGGAGGAAAAAGGCTTCCAGACTTTATTATTATTGGCTAATTTTTAATAAAGTTAAATTCCCATTATAAAGTTCTGTAATATAAAGAAAAAAAGGATGAAAAAAGTCATCCACAGCCCTACCACCCAAGGTAACCAGTATTAAAATTTTTTATGTACTTCCTTTCAGAAATTTTATGTAAAAATTTTTTTACATACTGTATTAAACACACTTAAATGGTTTAAAAGCTAGCATAAGCATTTTCCATGTTATTATAAAATATTCACAATTTAACGCTGCAATAATTTCCTATGATGAATATACCCTGATTACTCTGAATAACTGTACAATGTAAATAATCTGAGATCCTTCCATGGTACCACCAAACTATCAGGAACTATACTTAAAGAACCCAGCAAAATCATTTTTTCTTGTCTGAGAGTCAAAAATATGTTTCTTGGGCGCCTGGGTGTCTCAGTCAGTTAAACATCTACCTTCAGCTCAGGTCATGATCCCAGGGTCCTGGGATCAAGCCCCACACCAGGGTCCCTGCTCAGCGGGGAGCCTGCTTCTCCCTCTCCCTCTCCCTGTGCCTCTTCCCTCTGCTCATGCTCTCTCTCTAATAAATAAATCTTTAAAAAAATGTTTTTCACATTCTTAGGATGATATTTTTAATCAATTATTGAAATATTATTACTGTATTAATTTCAGAAATCAAGAGGGAGGGCTTATAAATTATTTTTCAGGAAATAAAAGCCGAAGGTTTTCTTACAGAATGTACACATTAGTAATGTTAAGAAAACAGGTAAAATTAGAAGCTTATTTTCAATTTATCCAATAAAAGTAGAAATTTCATGTTACAATTTTTTCTACTGATTCATATGTCTTACCTTGTAAAGATGATTTATTGAAGGCAGTAACAGAAGTGGCTACAGAAGGAGGGGGTAAAAGAGGGTAAATTGACTGTAAAGATGATGTTTATTCAAGTATAAAACATCACTGAGTTGAAATAGCTGTCTATGGATTATATAAATCCACAATTTCAGGATAAAGTTTGAAGGGCTCAATGCACAAAGGATGTAGTAAGTAATCCTTCACTAAACCTTTTTTCTAATAAAACAGATTCATACTGAATAAATAAGCTTGCAGTTGTCTAATTAGAATTGAAACAAACATTATCTAAGATCTCCAAATTTTAATACACTCAGTTATTTCTATAGATTAATACTGCAAGCTATTTTTATTTAAAAATTTTTAGAGTTAGATTTATTTTATAAGCTAGTTGATTTTGGGTGAACCTAGAAAAAAATTTGTCAAGAAACTTAGAAATTTGAATGACAATTAAGACTCAGACAAAACCATGGTGAGTCTACAGTAATTCACACTTGATTAAAACAACAATGAATTTAAATGTAAATCTTTATTTTCTGTTTAAATCTTACAGCCTCAAAAAATTAAGTTAAATCCCACCAAAAATATTCATAGATTGATGGAAAAGTGTAAAAAGTGAATGACAACTAAGAAAGACAAGTTTTTATTCTAATTTCAAAAACTGAAATCAAGTTGAATTTTATTACATTTCATTGCCTCTTATTCTCAATGACACATATTGACTTCTATTTATAGGATCCATTAACTCACCATTATGAACTTCAGAAACCCTACACATAAATACAATACATGCTTTTATATGCACATCCTGTCAAATGAATAAAACAAAAAGTCTTACTTACCTCTGCTGACATCCATGGCATATAATTCTCTTAGTCCTAGGTCGTTAAGAGATTTTGTCAAATCAAGGGGCTCCTGAGATAGATAATCCTTCAACAACAGTGTATGCAGTGGATCAAACTCACATTTGCTGCATATAATGGGGGCAAGTTCTTGGAGTGGTGCATGAGGGCTAACTCTCACTATTGTCTTCTGTGTTTTCTTAAAATTGATCACTACTCTCACAGTTTTCTGAAACACAGATTAAAACCATAGTTATTACCATAATTTATTTACTAAAACCTTCTACAATAAGAGATCAATCTACAATTATACAGTCATACAATAAACAGTATTTTTCTATTTTGGTGTGAAATTATTATTTTTCTTTCCTGAAGCATATTCTTTCATTATTTCTAAGAATATGAAATAATTTGATTAAATAATCTAGATTAAATCCATAATCCCTGTAAGGTATTAGATTTTAAATCTAAAAGGGAACATAAAAGCCTCATATCTGATACTACTGATATTTCTGTTTGTTCCTTAAAATATTTACTATAAAATGAGCAAATGCCCATAATAATACAGAGTTATACATGTTCTATTTTATGCTTCAGTTGAGAAATATTTATCTAATGGTTTGTTGTCTCGATGAAAAAAAGAGTATTTTGGTTAAAATATAAAATTTTTGTGCTTCTCTCTATTGAAAAGAAGATAAATGAGATAACCCATATAAAAAAACTTAGCATAGTGTCTGGCACATAGTAAACTATCAACAAATAAACATTAGCTATTGTGATTACCTATTGTCTCTATTATTTGACAATACTTTGGCTAATATATTAGTAAAGACTATTAAGATAACCCTGATTTAGATATCTAGTACTAATTAAAATTATTGAGAGGATTTTAAACATATCATTTTAATGTAATTAACTTTTATATACAAATGGAACTTAGAAACATGTTACCATGCTAAGCGAAATCTACAGTGTGCAGATCCTTAAAGCTTAACATGTATTCATTAAACTAAAACACCATGTATAATCCCATGCTGTAAAATAAATACTACTGCCACCTAGGTACATATGTACCTAGATGGGTAATAGCCCAATATCCTAATTAATTCTTAATATCAGTATTTTGTAGATAAGAATTCTTAACTTTATAAAAAGCTGCATAACAATATGAAGGAAATATGAGAATATATACCCTCAAGCCATGTAAATAAACTATTAATTTAATATACTGGCCTTTATATATTTCCTGAAGTTAAAAAAGTTGACATTCCTAATGAAAAAATACTTCTTTTTTTTTTTTTAAAGATTTATTTATTTTTATTTATTTGACAGGGAGAGACAGCAAGAGAGGGAACACAAGCAGGCAGAGTGGGAGAGGAAGAAGCAGGCTTCCCACTGAGCAGGGAGCCCGATGTGGGCCTCGATCCCAGGACCCTGGGATATGACCTGAGTCGAAGGCAGATGCTTAACGACTGAGCCACCCAGGCGCCCTGAAAAAATATTTCTTGAAACCCATAAAATTCTACCTCTATAGCTTATAGAAACAGAACAAGTTTATAAATAATTGATATTAGAATGATTGTGGTTAAAAATTTTTGAAAAAAGTATTTTTTGCTTAATTCATATATTATAGAAAACTGAGTCATTATATAGCTTGAATTAACAATTTAGAATAAGTTAGAACCACCACTTACCAAGTATAGAGAAGCCAAAAAATATTTTAATAAATTCTTAAATAAATTCTCATTAAAAGATTCTAAAACCTTCCTCTAAATAAAAAATCTTTCTGGGGCACCTGAGCAGCTCAGTTGGTTAAGTGTATGATTCTTGATTTTGGCTAGGTCATATCTCAGGATCATGAGATCGAGCCCCACATAAGGCTCTGCTGTTAGTGAAGAGTCTGCTTCTCTCCCTCTCTCTCTCTCTCTTCTTCTCCCCCTGCCCCAACTTGTGCACTCATGCTCTCTAATAAATAAATCTTTAAAAAAAAAACTTTTTAAAAGAGTAAGTTAAAATGTAGATCATTTAAATTGTCAGATTCTGATATGGTCCTATAGATCACTTTAGAGTGTCTAAAATCAAAAGTATTCCCCAAATTCTAGTTAATCCAAAGACTGATAACCAAATGAATCCTAAACAAAGTGGCCAAGGCAAGCAAAATAGCCATGTTCACATCAAATTTAACCAGGAAAGTCCATTTTTATTTCATTTGAAATAAATATAAGCTGCAGATAATGACTGAAAAATCAATTTAGTATTTTTGCCAGAAGACATCAAAATCACAGTGACATTCTTACCTCTGGTATTATAGGCGTAGGCTTTTTCTTATCCAAAATTTTTGGCTTTAAAATGACTTTCTCCACCTCCAACATTCCTATTGGTGTGTTTGGCTTAAATTTAATGGGGTTATTTTCAGATGACTGCAGATCAATTGTGTAACTGGATGGATTTAAGTGATACTGTGCACAGAGGAATATCAACAAGTCCATCATAGGTTTACTGTAAAACAGAAGTAATACTGATCATAAAAGTCCATAAAACAATTTCATTAAGTTTAAAGTTATTGTTCTTAGCATTTTTCTTAGGGCCTTTTTGTTTTCAGCAGATAAAACAAGGCTATAAAATAGTATGTGTGAAAGTAACTTAAAAATCTAGCTACAAGATCATTTTTTCCCCCACTGCAGGAGGAGATATATACATGGTAGCCTGGGCCCTGGACTCCAAGTATCTAACTAAGCGGACAGAATTATAATAGTTAAAAAGTCCTGACTGGTATTCAAACAGCTTAGATCCTAGTGTTGGTTTAATAATTATCTGTATTTTTTATCTGCCAAGTTGTCATCCTATTATTATAAATTTTAAGAAAAGTCCTTTCCTTACCCAAGAGCACTTAGTTCAGCAAATGCTCTCCTTTACAATATTTTGAATACCAGCAGTCTTTGGCTTATAAACTGGTTATATTCCAAAGATCGCATAAAAATGAAGCATTAAGAACCACCACCACCCCGGAGCATATGGCTGGCTCAGTCTGTAGAGCATGGGACTCTTGATCTTGGTGTCATGAGATCAAGCACTGCTATGGGTGTTAAAAAAAAAAAAAAGAACAAACAAACGAACTACCACCACTCTTTGGGCTTTAGAAAGCACAGTGAGTATCTACAGAAGGAAGCCCACAAAATTCTCAAGAAAAGTATAGATTTCTTAATTCATTCAAAGGACATTTAATATTTTCTAGGCCCTTGGAGACACAATAAAGTGTTATGCTCTCAGAGATCTACACTACTAGATAGACTAGGCCAAGTATCAGCAAACTACAATCTGCAGGTCAAAGTGGGCCCATGGCTTATATTTTGTAAATAGTTTTATTGGAACACAACCATGCTCATTTGTTTACATACTATCTAGGGCTGCTTGTGTGTTACAACAGCAGATTTGAGTAGATGTGATGAAAACTGAATGGTCCACAAAGCCTAACATATTTACTATCTGGTCCTTGACAGAAAAACATTATGGGCATTTGTGCTCCGACAATTAAAAAGTAACCAAGTAAATGTATAATATCAAAGAGTGATTAAGTGTTAAATTCCATTCACACCCACAACAGAACAATGTGGTCTCTGAGTCTTTCTTAATTGTTAGCCCTTAAGAAAAGAACACTAAAAAATATTCTGTGGTATGTGCTTTCCTCAAATGTCTGGTGATCTTAAGCTGTTAGTTCATATTCAAGACCGAGGCACTAAAATACTCTGTAAAAGTCCTGTTTTCATGAATTAAGGTATAGGTTGATGGGCTTCATTTGATGGTAATCAGGTGGCCAGTTTTTTTTTTTCCCATGGGGAAATATAAATGTCGGTAAAAAATTCTCCAGTTTCTTGACTACATAATATGAACCTAGCTACTGGCTTTCAGGAACTTGACAGGGAAATGAGGATAGGAATCTCACCATTCAGTATGGTATTTTTAATTTAGTACATCTGTTTTCATATGCACCTCATCCCTACTTTCTTAAGTGGAGTGCCCTGATCTGTAGCCTCTCTGGTTTAGCTTTTCCACAGAGGCAGTCTCCTCCTGGAAGAGGGTTAGTTGTCTGACATTGTGTGGCCTTGAGGTTAAATAACACTTTATATGGATCCTCAAACCATCGCCTGTGTTCACCCACCTACCTCACCCTCGAATTCTGTGGCTGTTGCCCATCCCTTAACATCTCTTCTCCTCTCCCACCTACAAGTAGCACCCCACTAGGGCGCCTGGGTGGCTCAGTTGGTTAAGCGACTGCCTTCGGCTCAGGTCATGATCCTGGAGTCCCGGGATCGAGTCCCGCATCGGGCTCCCTGCTCAGCAGGGGGTCTGCTTCTCCCTCTGCCCTCTTCCCTCTCGTGGTCTCTGTCTCTCATTCTCTCTCTCTCAAATAAATAAATAAAATCTTAAAAAAAAAAAAAAAAAAAGTAGCACCCCACTATACATATATCAAGAAAAATAATAAAAACCTAAGTGCCTCAGTTAAAAAAAAAATGTTCTCTGGAATATGTTTCAGTCCTCAAAATATGTTCCCTATATCGTTATTAGATGCTTCCACAATAATAATTTACGAGTTTTATGTCCTCTTGAGCTACTTAGTATGCTCATATGTAAATTTGTCTATAATCACCCAAATTTTGGCATTGAGTAATAGATACTAAATTTCATCCACATCAAGACTAGCATAATGGTATTATTCAAGTTTATTTTTTGGTAACAAAAAATAAAAATTTTTAAAAATTTGATGCTACATACAAATTCTTGACTTGGAAATGGTACCACCTTTCTCTGATAGTAAATAAAGTTAAAAAAGATTAGGTAATGTCTAGGTAAATACAACTATGAATAAATGGTGATATGTTCAGACTGTATTTCTCTCTACACATATAAATGTGCCAAGTAATAAATGTAAAAACCACTAACGCTTATACTCTAAACATCTTTTACTTCTTAAATGTACATTCTTTAGAATCTCTGCCAGAAAAACACAAGTTAACAAGATAAAAATATTTATTAGTGCTACCATTTTTCATCTCCCTATGTACAAAAATATAAACATCTAAGGAAAAAGATATTTTCCATTTTTAAAAGGTAAGAATTTAACACTCTTTATATACACTTATTTAACCTTTTTGATATGTCTTAATGAAGTATTGTATTTTTATCTGTGACATTAGTTTTCTGACTTAATAAAAGAAGTGCATAATGGGCCAACAATATTATAATAATGGCCTATTCCTTCAGTCAGTTTGGTCATCTATAATCTTTGCATACAATATCAGACTTCATGGCAAAAAGGCTGCATGCTGATAGACCTACATCATGCCTTTTGAACTCAACACCACCTAAATATTTTCTAATAAAAATGTCTCTTTAAGCATCAACTAAAAATCATAGAACTGGTTTATGACTTTATTCTTTGATTCATTCTATAATTCTGTTTAATTCTTTTTTCAATAATTCCAGAAGCCAATTCTCTCTTGAAAATATTCCTATATCCCGACAGACAAATCCAACAGACCAGAAAGTTCTATAAATGCAGATGGGAATTTAATACTACATATGATAAAGGTATCCCAAATTTCTGGGGAAAGAATTGAATTTTCGGGGCACCTGGGTGGCTCAGTTGGTTGAGCGACTGCCTTCGGCTCAGGTCATGATCCTGGAGTCCCGGGATCGAGTCCCGCATGGGGCTCCCTGCTCGGCGGGGAGCCTGCTTCTGCCTCTGACCCTCCCCCCTCTCATGTGCTCTCTCTCTCAAATAAATAAATAAATAATCTTTTTTTTTTTTTTAAGATTTTTTATTTATTTATTTGACAGAGAGAGACACAGCGAGAGAGGGAACACAAGCAGGGGGAGTGGGAGAGGGAGAAGCAGGCTTCCCGCGGAGCAGGGAGCCCCATGCGGGGCTCGATCCCAGGACCCTGGGATCATGACCTGAGCCGAAGGCAGTCGCTCAACCAACTGAGCCACCCAGGCGCCCCTAAATAAAAAATCTTTAAAAAAAAAAAAAGGAATTGAATTTTCAACAAAGGGTATGAAAAACTGACTAGCCATCTGATAAATAAAATTTATGTATCCATCTTACGCCTTACACTAAAGTAAATGCTAAGTGGACAGATACATAAATACTGGGATATTACTCTGGGGGGCGGGTGGCAGAATAGGAATCCATCTCTCTATAGTTTATTACGTTCTAGAGCAGGGCTGTTTAATTGTTCTGCAATATGTAAATTTTCCATATCTGGGCTGATACAGTGGCCACCTCACCACAGGTGGCTATTAGGCACTTGAAATACATTGACAAAGTGGACTGACAAACTGAATTTTTCATTTAAACTCAATTTAAATAACCCCATGTAGTAAGTGGCCACCATATTGGCCAGAGTAGTTCTGGTACATTGGTTTCTAAAACTGTGTTTCATGGAGCAGCAACATCAGCATCTCTAGGACCTTGTTGAAATACAAATTCTCAAGCCCTAGTCCAATCACTGAATCAGAAACTCTGAGAGTGGGCCACAGCAGTATGCGCTTTGACAAGCATTCCAGGCAATTCTCATGCACATGCTACAGTTTCCCAACCTGCGATCAAAAGAGGATACAGAAACAAGTAAAATATAGAGTATATCAGACAATGATAAATGCTATGACGAAAAATAAGATAACAAAGGAGGTTAGGAAATGTTCTAAGTGGAAAAAAAAAAAAATGACATTAGAACAGAGGGCTGAATGGAATGGGTTAACTGGAATAAGAACATTCCAGGCAGAGTCGACAAGTTGCAAAGGACCTGAGGCAGTAGTGGGCTCTACATGTTTAAGGGAAAATAGGAAGCAGTCTGCTGGGGTGAAAGTGGTAGACTGAAACCGGAGTGACTTGGGATTTTACCAAGTGAGAGAGAAAACCACTGGAGTTCTGAGGAGCAATGGGGTCTACTTTACATCTAAAAGGATTATATGCTGATTGTTGTATTCATTTTTTGACTTGAGAAAAAGGCATGTTTTATTTTTAAAGTAAAACTAAAAAGCAAATGTAAATAATAGGGGTTATACATGATTTAAGAAGCCACTGTCTGTCTGTATTTATTTATTTATTTTAGTGTGGCTTAAAGGATAATTTTCTTTTGTTGCTGTTGTTATATTCAGAATAGTCTGGGGGAGCAGTTACAAACCTATTGCAAAAATTTGGGGGGAGATAGGGACTCAGTCAGATTTCAGATTATTTTATGAGGTGCTGATAGGATTAAAGCCAATGCCAGAAGAAAAGGGTAAGAAGACACAGAAACAGAAAAAGGAGCTAAGCAGTAGGAAGAGGCCAGGACTACAGGAACACTAGAACGTGGGAGGGCTGCTGAAAGGACCCAACAGGAGTCCTAAACTGCTAATTTAAATGGTTTGCTATGTGATACCCTTACTCACCTTTCCCTGGTGACCCATAGACCATCACTAAGGTCCTGGTAGCTTCAGGGGGAGGTGTTAAATCA